CAGCAGGATCCCTCAAAGCACACTCATCTCTAAAGTCGCTTTCTGGCTACAGAACAGAGGCAATGTACCAACAGGATTGTAAAACCAGTCTCTGATTTATTGCTGCCTGAGCATATTTTGCACTGGCACTTGAAAAGCTAATAGGGATGGACTGGGCACTGTTCATGGGGGGATTCATAAAAAAAGTGGTTTATTTATGGTGGTCAAAGAATAGTGTTTCTTGCATGATAGATTGCTTAAGATTCTGCTATAAATTTAATGAGGAGATAGTCGCTTTTTGGTGTATAATTCAGATGCAGAGAGGGACTTAAGCAAAGATTGAAACTAGTCTGCATGTGGATAGGGAAGTATGAAAAGGAAACATGTTTGCTGGTTTAGGGACCCAGAACATGGAGGTATACTGTGTATAGGAGATGGGGTCAAGCTGTCAAAGGTATCTAAAGAAGTACTTTGGGGACTGAAGAACCTAAATTAAGAGAATACTTATTATAGTTTGGATTGTACTCAGGTGCAAGAGGCATTTCCAAAGGACGAAGAGCCATTGCTCTTTAGAGAAGACTCTTGAACCTGAACAGAGCAAATGGGCATCAAGCTTGGGTACCTCAGGTGAGTGCAGGGGGTTGTGTGATGTGTGTGGGGCTGAGGGCAGCCTGTCTGAGGGCACCTATGTACCATGGTCCTAATGATCTCCATGGGCAGAGAATGGTCTTGCAGCACTGCAATAACTTTTTGCTGCTGGATCTTCTTCTGCAAATTGACTTAAGGTCTTTTTCTGCCATGCTTCTGGGAAAAGTGTAACCATTTCTGTACTGCTGTGTGTTATCAAACATGATGTAAGGAGAATAAATGAGAAAGAGGGGCTGCTTACATGTGCAATATGTTCCTGCAATATGTATATGCAGCTTTCATCTTCTTAAATATTTAAAATTAATTCATTTAGTTTAGATTGTTAATTAGACACAGCATAAAGTGCCAGACTACTTTTCGAATCTGGGCAATGACTCATTCCTAAAAACTCCCTTCTCCCTCCCTCCTTCCCTGTGTTGTATTTGCAGTCAAGTCTCAAGTTTTGCTTTCTGATGAGAGTAGCTTAGAGCATCTGTGAAGGACCCAGTACCACTCTGCATCTATTCAGCATCCCTGGGAGAGTGCTTCCAAGGGGCTGGAGTGCAAGTTGAGGGATAGCTTCACCAGCATCCCTCAGGCTGTGAATTTTTGGGGAGTCAGGCAGTTAAAACCAGGGCGGAATGAGTTCCTTAGAGAGAAATATTCAGGATTTTCTGGGATAAGTATTACTAATATTTGGTGTTGAGCTATGAAATATATCTGCAATGCTTTCGGTTTTAGTCACAGGTATTAACTAAGTATTCAAATATAACCAGTGGACAGTGGCCAAAGCTTTTCAGGGCATTGAGTAAGGAAAGCTGTCTACAGCTGTCCAAGCATGGACCACTAGAGTAAAGAGAAAACAGGAGGAGATGATCCCCTGCAGCTGGGGACCACACTGCCAGCCTGCTGAGCTCCCTGACTGGAGACATCTCAGCCCCCATCTTCCACCAATGACAGTCACTGCACAGCCTGGCTGTACATGTCTGTCTCTTATTTCTCTGCCATTCCTGGAGCCTTAACAGATGACCCACAGTCTTACATAGCCTCTCAAAGCCCCAGATCCCTAATAATTCTGGGTAATGTGGACCATCTGCTCATGTATTGTTCCTGCAAACCTTTGAGATCAGTACTTGCTTTGTATTTTACAGCAACATAACAGCCACAGCGCTTATTGGTCCCCCAAGGCTGGTAATACAAGAGCCTTTGCCCACACAATCAAGAGTCAAGGCCCTTTGCCCACACAATCAAGAGTCATGTTCCCAGTTGTCAGCCCACACGCAGACAAGGAGACGGTTGCTGATCCAGAGCACTTACAAACAAGACTAAAAATCCATCCTGGATGTGTGATTCTGGGCACTGCTATAAGGAATGTGATGCTAATGACACATAACTGATTAGGTGTAAAAGATATCTTTTGCCTGTCCTGAATTATGCCTGCAGCCATGGTAATGGCAAGAGGATGCAGTCAGATCCTCTTCCTGAGGATAAAATGATTTGGGTTAAAAGGTCAGAAGTTTGCAGTAAGCTCGGACCATGCTGCCTCTGCTCTGCCTCAGGGGGTGAAATGTCCCCTCGTCTGCTGCCCCAGCACTGAAAGTACTGTTGGCAATATAGAAGTTCCCAGCTTGCCCTTCCTAGCCAGAGAGCCCCAAACACATCCCTCTGCTTACTTTTCATCCACTCTCCATATTCCTTCATTTCTCCTGTGAGATACTCAAAAACTCGGTGGATCCGATTTCTGCTTCTCCCCAGCAGGTCCTGGGCTCTTGGCTTCTGCTCCACGTACAACTGCCTCTCACTGGGATGTTCAACCACAACGATCTCTCCAAGCTCCATCTCTTTTGGGTGGTGAGAAGAGGTAACTGCAAATCACAAAGCCCATGTGTTAGCCCCAGTGTTTTGGGTTGTGTCCTGGCAAGATTCTGCTGTACTTTAGAGCTCCATGGTGATATCCTTTTTACAGTTGGGATATTTCATGGAGAAAGGACCTGCCTGAACCACTGCTGAGAGAGGTATGTGCTGCTGCCCAGGGCAGTGGTATGCCTTTTTATGTTTTGAGGTGGCACCTTCATATATCACAGCAAATCCATGGTCTTTCCATGCTCCTTATTCCACATCTGCCTTTTGTAGACCATCACGAGTAAACTGGGGTAGCACGAAGTATTACACAGAAAAAAGCATCCATGTGTGGCTTTAGGCAAAAATAACCACCTTGGTTTAGGGCTACGTGCTCTTTAATTAGCAGGTGAATATCCAGGCAGGATTATGGGTTTAGTTAACTCCTAATTCCAGTTGTAGGGCTCTGTTCATTAAAAGGTCCATTAAGATATAAACCTTTAAGAGAAAATACACTGCACTCCACTCTAGTGAGTTACTCTGCAGGTTACACCTGCAAAAAATGCCACCCCGCTTTCTGAGGAAGTCTGGCATCAGCTTGCCCGTGGTTTTGCTCTGACCCATTTCGGAGCAGTGTGGCTGGGTTGCTAGGCGTTGGCCAAAAGTGGTTTGCGTTGTGAAGTGCTTGTCCCGTGTTTCGTGGAATGTGGGCACCACCTTCTGGTGGGAGCCTGGGTTTTTTTTTGGTAGCTCAGGCTGTCTGTCTACCAAAACCAGAAGGACAGGCTGGGAAGGGAAGCCTGACTGGCGGGAAAGCTGTTTTGCAGGGAAGAATACTGACAGGCGAATGGTAAAAATATCTATGACTCTAAATGCCCTAATAAAGGGGTTCTTGAGCATCCAAAGATGTTTTCCCTTCACCCCTGGCAGCACAATGCTGAGTGCAGCCCTGCAAATGCATCGCGCAGCGCCCGTTGTCTAGAGCTTTGGCTCTCTCTGCCGGCAGCTTGTCCCTACCGCAGCAAGAGCCTTCGTGATGACCTTGGCGTACCAGCATCAGCCAGGGATGGACGGACTGTTACAACTGTACAAATTAAACCTAACCAGCACTCAGGAGCACTGAAGAGCGGAGCGGTGAGGGAACTGGGCTTGTTTACCCTTGAGAAAAGGAGGCTGAAGGGAGGTTTAGATTGGATATTAGGAAAAATTTTTTTTTGCCAAAAAGGTTGTCAGTCATTGGAACAGGCT